CACAAAACAATAGAGAAATATTTTTTAGTCCCTAAACTTTTTGGATTTGATCAAATGGAACTCTCTTAAACTAAGTTGATTACATCAAATCTTATACTCCAATTAAAATGACCAAATAATACTGTATACATCGTTTATGATTAAAAATATAAGATACAAAATTAAAATTTATCTTTCTTTTAATATGGTTTACATTGAAGATATGTAAAGAAAAAACATAAAACATATTGAAAATTAGAAAAAAAATATTTAATTAGGAAGACCACAAAAGATTAAGACCCTAAAACTATAAAGTCTCTTAAAGTGCATTGACTTTTCATATTATAAAAGTCAATCAGAATTTTTTTCAGATAAATCACCCGATTGGTTTAGGCAATTTTAGAAATTGATTGATTTATTTTGCAATAAATGTGGTTGATTTACTGAAAAAACGCTAATAACAATAATTACTGATATATATTTGTAACCAAAACTTAATTTCTCCGAATAATTGTGTATCAACATAATAAAATCTTACCAAAAACTTTTCAAAATAAGTACTAGAAATTTAAATCTACAGTAAAGGAAAATTACATAAAACACGGAAGGGAATTATCTAAAACCATGGCAACCATGTCAGTTGAATCTAAAGCTTTGAATTCAAATTAAAAAAAAAATCATAAATTAGCATATGATAAAAATACAAACCCTTTAACTTTTTTATTATTTCAATTTTCTCACCTATAATCTAAATCAATGAATTCGAAACAAACAGTGAGATTTGATATATGATCATATCCAAATCTTAAAAAAAGACCAATAAAATTTGAACTCAACAGCTCAAAAAAAAAAAAAAAAGACAGAAAAACAAAGAAACATATTAATTGCCGAAAAAAAAGCATGTACATAATATAAATAAATAGTAAAAGTATAAACCTACCATAAATAACATACATACGAAAACATAAAATATTGTCAGATTTAATGGATACTGTTGTCTGCTTTAAGTCAATCAAAGAATATTGTCACTGTTAAAAAAAAAAATTATTTTTACATAATGGTTTTTCATATATTTTTTCAGATGAGGTTCGTTGAATCTTATTGGGTTCCTTGAATCCTATATATGGTTTTGTCGATTCATATGACTATTTTGCCCCTAAATTCATTTAACCCACAGTTAGCAATAAAAGGGCAATATTGTTTTCGCTCCAAAGAATTTTATTTCAATTTAAATCCAAGGATATAATTTCATACCATCAATGATTCAAACCTAATTAATTATTAATTATGCGTGATAATACACTATTTCAATACCATTTGTTTTACAGATTCTCTTCTTAATTAAATATCAGGTAGTTGTGGAATTAACTTGAAATTTGACAATATATAGGTTGTGAAAAACATATAGAAATCAATGTTCCACTTCCAATTCCAACCCATTCTAATTCTAATTCCAATTCCCATTTTCATTTTCATTTCTGTTTCACGAACCAGACAACCCCTAACTAGAAAGGAGAAAAAAAAAAAAAGCACAAATTAAGAAAGTCGGGGATTTTCGAAGGCATTATCCAAAACGTGAATAGCTAGATTGATTTTTTTTTTTTTTTAATTTACATATACAAGCTTAGCCTAAGGATTTTGGACCAGCTAGCTTTTATAGTAAAGCAAGGTTTGAGTCTTGATGACTCCAATTTCTATAGTGATTATGTAATGAAAAGGACTATTCCCATTATATAGCCCAATAGGTTTGTTGAGCCTTCGATTAAAAAAAAAAAAAAAACCTTTGGAAAACAAATGAAAATTAATTCTTAAAAAAAGAGTAAATGTATATGTTACTCCCTCTATTCTAAAGAAATTATCTCCATTTTTTTTTATTTATACCTGTTTCAAAATACTTTTTTAGTTAAAGTTTTTAATATCGTACTTTTTTAAAATATCCCTAATTGATAAAGAAAATCAATTATCCCTAAAGATATTTTAGAAAAGTATTATTAAAAATTAAAGTATTGATATGATATTATAATTAATAATTTTTTTAAATTGTGTGAAAAGTCAAATTAAGAAAGTTATCACTTTGAGATAGAAGTAGTATTTATTTTGGATGGTTGAGCACGAACCAAACAGCTCCTAGCAAAAATGGAGAAAAATCACAAATTAAGGAAGTCATTGATTTTAGAAGGCATTATCCAAAATGGTAACATCCAGGTTGTTATATGAGAAATTTTATAATACTCGAAAAATAATTACTGCATTGATCCTCTTTCCAGAAAAAAGATAGATACATAAAAAAGAGAAAATCACATCTAGATCTATCAAAAGTGATAAGAAAATTTCCATCTTGATCTCTTTTTTTTTTTTTTTAATTTTTCTCTTCTTTTTGTATCTATCTTTCTATATTGTAACTTATACTAATTCTTTGAACATTATAAAATTTCTAGTTGTCATATAATTTATTTATTTGTAAAACAGACCCTCTATATAAAGATAGAGAGTAAGCATGAAAACACACAACAAAAACAAAAAGCTTTAAACATTGAATCACACACAACCAGAGTGATCATGGATTTCAAAGCAAATAAAATGGCTATTTTCGTCCTCCTCTTCTTTGTGATTATGGTGGGAACTGTGCAAATTGGCAGTGCAAGGGATTTCTCTGCAACAAATGATGACATTACTACAGGTCATGGATTCATTTTCAGGATGCTCTCCTCCCCTTTTTGCTGTTCATACAATCCTGATTGTTGCGAAAAAGACACGACCACTTCTCATCCATGACCGTTGCTGCTTTGGTCTCAAAATAAATGGTACCACAAAAGAAGTTCATATAAAATGGTCTTGTTGTAAGAGATCTAGCATGGTTGTTGTGTTCCTCTTCATTTGATCATTATAATCAAACTATCTTCCTGTTTTCCTATTGACTAAATATCTCAACCTCTTCCTTCTGCTTTCATGTTGATAAAATGCATGTGTGTGTGAATATTCAGGTGCATATACTGGACAATCTATAAGAATGAATAGAAGAAAAGGCTTTTGTCCTCGATAAAAATTTTCAGGAATGCAGTGTAATGTAGTTTTGGCAATCATAATGTTGTGTTGCCATCGATTTATGCCATAATGTTGCAGATATAAAGATGAAATGCAAAGACTCATTAGGATGACCAAAAGGCTTGCAATCCTGATGTTTCTCATCATTACTCTCTGTGTTTTCACTCAAATTCATGAATCTGCTATATTTTCCCAAAGTTTTCTCTGTATTTTTTATGATCCTTAGACAAACATATGGTTCCATTTTGATAACTTCATCTGTTTCAATATTAATATTGTTTTTCTAAATAATAATAATATTAATCATGCATCTATCATTTGATTAGGAGAAAGCCTACCTATTTCATGTTCTTGCACTCCATAGCCAATATTGGTTCAAAAATAATTTCGTGATATTAATTCTGAACAGAATTGCCACACAAGTTTGTAAAAAAGATCGAAAGTTGCTCACACCAGACCGACTGATACTTAACTAGTATCATTTCAATTCATTCTTCATCAGGAAAGAAGGAAATCTTCTTTAATGCTGTTGGAGCATTTCATTCCAGTTATATATATATATATATATATATAAACTGAATATTCAAAATTCAAATTTAAAATCCGAGGGTGAAGCATGGAAAAGCGAAAAATTGTTTAGAAACAAAGAGGGAGTCACCACCGATCCTTTTTTTTATTTCCGATGTGTGATTGGTCACCTGATTGATTTCTATTAATTTTAAAAATACTCAAGATTTATTAAAATCAACTAGTGACGGACGCAGGACTAAATGTCCACGAAAGCTAAAATTAAATTAGATTCAATTTGTCTTGAATGCAATTCTGATATTTTGCAAGCTGCAATGATTTTTCTGTAATAAAAGACAAATTTTAGTAAGTGAAAAATAAGAAAGGAAAGAAAGAATTGATGAGAGTATTTTAGAAAAGTAGAAAGACAAATATTTTGGGACAAATATAAATCGAAAGAGTGACAATTTTTGTCTACCAACCGCTACTTCCACCAAGTTTTGTCTCGGCAATAATAAACCGTTTCTTTAGACTTCCAAATATCGTCAAATTGTTGGTGTTTTGCAATATTTGACTCTACTCGTCCAGATTTTAACTTCGCCATTAAGAAAGCCTGTCAATTTGTATATATATTCTTCTTCTGAAGATCATCGGATAGTAGTTAAGTAAATCCTTTGCTATCTCCAACACACTCTCAATCACGTTTCCCTCTTAGTTGTCACTCATCTCTTCAGTTTCATGCCTTTAATGACGTTGACTGAGCAAATACTATTAATGATGGTAAGGCTCTGAGTGACTATGCTATTTTCTTCAGACATAATCGGGTCTATTGGAAATCTAGTAAGCAAGGGATTGTTGCTCGATCGTGGACTGAAGCTGAATAAAAAGCCTTTGCAAATGCATCACAAGAATGGGTATAGTATAACGACAACTGCACTCAATTGCTTAGTTGCTTATATATAGTAGTCTCAATTCATTGAATAAAATTTTCTAAAACCTCTTCACAAACCTGTATAATATATAATGTATTTAAATTGTTTATCCATTCATTCTATGAGTTTTTTACCTTCTAACTAAAAGGTTTTTTTTTTTTTCTATTTTTTCAATCTCAGAAGGTTTTAAATCCTATTATATATGAAAAGTACGTTTTCAACCAAAACATATATATTTTTAAGACAATACATTAAGGTTTTTTCATTTTTTATAAATAAAAATTAATTTTACTTATACTTTTTAATAAAACACATCCTAGTGGACGAAAATGACGAGATAGACAAGTTGTTTCTTCATGATTTTCACAATCCCATGCATCTCGCCATTTTTCTTGAGAAACCATATAAATGCAGGAATAAGCCTACAACATATCAAGAAATATTTTTTTGATGGGCCTTAAATCTAGAGATGCTTGTTGGGTGCCTTTCTATATATTGGGCTTCTGAGCCATCCTTGACAATGAAGATCCCAAACATTCATTCCCTTGCCATGCGTTCCATTTTCACTTCAAACCTCCTATATTCATCCTTGGCATTTTCCATCACTGAATCAAGATAATCCTCAGCTTGTTGCAAAGCTACTTCAGCTTGTTTGACTTCTTTTTCTTGTTCAAGTTCCATTGCTGCCCATGACTTACATGCTTCTATCTCGAAGAGTTTCATTAGGTTATCAATAGAGGAGGGATCAAAGTTTTTGTCTTGACAAGCTTGGTTGGAGAGCAAGGTGAATTGGGAGAGGAGAGCGTTCATGTTTTGTTACTGTAAAGTCTGAAGATATGAAAAATGATGTAGATCTAGCTAGCTAATGTTCATTTTATAAGGCACATTAACAAAAGTTTGGCACGTTGTGTGGGGGAATCATGGAATGCCATGAAGCCCAAATGTTCCTTTCTTGGATTCAAGTAATCAATCCTGACCATCCATTCTATATGTTCTTTACTTTAATGGCTCAATTCTTAAGGTTTAGAGATTCGTTCCAATTTTCTAAATCAGAAAGATCTTTTTCCTCTGTGCATGGGGTAGGATTACAGTTATGGATGACTTTTCTTATCTCATATGTAGTTAGGAATATTTATGTAGTGGACAATGAGGGTTCCTGCCTACTAGACATTGTCCAAGAATAATCAATTTTGTTGTCCTTTATTGCATTCTATGGTAAAGCAGAATTATTTTTTCCCCCTTATCACAGCTTGATCGATTTCTTTCAATTGAAGATTTACATTATTTTGGTAATTTGGAAGGATATGAAACATCTAATAAGCAAAATTGAGGATCAAATAATTTAATATAAATTATGATACCAATTCAAAAACAAAATCTTCATTGTATCAGTAAAAGAGAAAAAGTTTAGTTGTTCATTTGCTTGAAGATGCTTTACCATAAGAAGCTCTAGATTTGGACTATGAAAAAAAGAAGTTGAGTGGGATGAACGTCTGTGATCTCCGTTGTCAAGGATGGCTCAAAGCCCAATATATAGAAAGGCACACAACAAGTACCCCTAGATTCACGGCCCACCATAAAAATATTTCTTGATGTGTTGTAGGCTTGTGGCCTTCATCCTGCATATAAAAAGTAATGAAGAAAATAGATAATACGCCTTATTCCTACATATAAAAATATTTCGAGATGGGTGGTTACTTCTTAGTTATTTAATATGAGATATGTGCTTTAACACTTTTCCTCATTTGTAACTTATCTTTTTAAGATCCGTCAAGTAACTTGAGCCCCAAGAAGATATTTATCGGACCGTTGAGCCTCTTTGAGTCTCCGATACCATATAGAGTTAGATAATTGAGATTAGATTTCATATAAAAAAAAACTTAAGCCTTGTGGTGGATGATCCCTTCTCAACCTTATATGTTAATCATTTTTTGTTTAATTATTCAATATAGGATATGTGTTCTATCAAAGAAATAATGTATTGTGAGTTTAACCACGACTAAATGATATATTAAAGTCAGTAGAGGATATTGATTTTGTAATTCAACGATGTTTTTATTTTGTAAACCCTTCTTTGTAACATTTAAAAAAAAAAAAAGAATTTAATATTGTTTTTTTCTTTTGAAGACTAGGCAACATACAACAGGAAGCCAATGAATTGTAGTTCCTTCAACTGACATTAATATTATTTAAGAAATCTTGAATGCTAACTTCTTCTTTGTAAAATAAAATAAAATAAAAATAATCTGAAACTTAATTTTTTCGAGCCAAGGAAACAGAAATAAAATATCAAAAATACAAAACCCAAACCCCTTTCCTTAACGTGAAATTTAGAAACTATGCTGGAGTAAATTGCTCTTCTTTGCGAAACCTTGATCTTTACGCAACCTTTTGCTTTTGGCCAAAGAACTTAAGCCACGTTTAGAACAATTTTTAAAGCCAAAGATTTGTATCTTGATATTATTGACCCAATAATAGAAAAATGTACAGTCTCCTCTTCCAGCAATGATGAACGAGACTGTACTTAATTGCTAAGGATATATATATATATATATATATATATATATATATATATATATATCTTGATATAACAGAAAAATGTACAGTCTCATTCATCATTGCTGAAGAGGAAACTTCACCTAACTGATCTCTTACTTCCACAAAAGAGCTAGGTATTTGATCCGACCTTTTTCCAATTTATAATGCATAACCTGCATTGCTATTGCATTGCAAGAAAACAAGTTTCCTTTTCTGTGAGAAACATTTATTAGTAAGGGTTGACCTTTTATATGACTACTTTTAGAGATTAGTATAAATTATATTATAGGGTCTCACCTATCGGTTTTAAGCTTTTAGGTGAGATGATCCTTTGATATGGTATCGAGCTTGATTGACTATGTGGTCTTGAGTTCAAGTCTCATAATCTTCAATTTCTCAAGTATTAAAATACAAGACAATGTGGATATGTGCAAGTTTCAAACTCAAATGTTAGGACTTTCACTTAAGAGGTGTATTAGAAACTAATATAAATTATATTCTAGGACCTCACCTATCGGCTTAAGCTTTTAAGTAAGATGATCCTTTAATAGCTACCATCTCGCTCTCCGATTGCAAGCCCTCTTCCTCTAGACTCGGGATGGTCCTACGATGTCTTTTTGAGTTTGAGAGGAGATGATACTTGAAAAATTTTGCTGATAATCTCTATACTGCCTTAATCCAGGCAGGAATTCATACTTTTATGGATGAAGATGAACTTCCTAAAGGAAAAGAAATGGCCCCACAACTCCTCAAGGCTAGTGAGGATTCAAGGATTTCTATATTGGTCATTTTCAAAGACTATGCTTCCTCTAGATGTTGTCTTGACAAGCTTGTAAAGATTCTTGAGTGCAAACATAGTATGGGCCAGGTTGTTCTTCCTATATTCTATGATGTAGATCCCTCAAACGTTCGAGAACAAAGAGGGAGTTTTGCAAAAGCTTTTGATAGACATGAAGAAATATTCTCAAAGGAAAAGGTGAACAAATGGCGAGAAGATCTTTTGCAGGCTGGAAATCTATCTGGATGGGTTATCAAAAGTTTGGCAAATGGGTACATATCTCCAAATTTCTTATTTTAAGTTCAGTAATATGTTTAATATGCAATACATTATTATAAAAATACCCTTTCAATTCAGCAGAAACCACCAAATTTTTCCATTGCATGGTAAATATTAGGGATAATTTTATATCCTTTTACATTATTTATTTATTTATTAAATCCATCCTCTAGTGCAACATTTTTTAGATTGGAAACCTGCATTAATGCTATTTTTCCATTAATTCGGCTGGACCCCGTGGTTTTTTTTTTTTAAAAAAAAGACATATCAGACTTTTGAGTATAGTGGTTCTTTTATACTAACAGAGTTTTACCGAACAAAATCATTCAAAGTTCAAATCTGTAGTTGAACATTCAAAAATAAATGTGTTCATCGCATGGACACAGGAAAATTTTGTGACAGGTCTACTCTAGTTAGCAAACAACTGCATTGAAATTGCACACAGAAATTTCCTGTGTCCGTGTGGTGAACACATTTGTTTTTCAATGGATTAACACCCAACTATTTCTACCAACGTAAGTGAAGGTTGTATGGATGTGTGTATACACAGCAGCTTAATAACTCAGATTAAAAAATTTTACCTTCGAAGTTAATTGCTGCACTCACTTGTCAAGGATGGCTCAAAGCCCAATATATAGAAAGGCGCGCAACAAGCATCTCTGGATTTAAGGCCCGCCGTAAAAATATTTGTTGGTGTAGTCATAGGCTTTGACTACATCAACAAATATTTTTATGGTGGCCCTTATAGGCTGCAAGCCTACTACACCAACAAATATTTTTATGATGGGCCTTAAATCTAGAGATGCTTATATATAGTTCTCAAGAAAAATGGCGAGAGGCATGGGATTGAAAAAGTATACACTAATAACTAATAGGATAAATATACTCATTGTTATAATAATAATAATAATAATAATAAGAGAATTAGATGAAATGATAACAAGAAAATTGAATCACTATAATGTGAATACAAGCGATAAGAACTTCAAAGTGTCTCTTATTCTCTTTATAAAACTTATACATCAACTAATAAACAATTAAGCCTATTTATAGGCTTCAAGATTAAGAAGAGAATTGAAAGAGACTATAAGCTATTAAAAGATGTATGAATTGCATTACCCTTTCAATTTCTCAAATCGAATGATGAATTGAATCTCGTTAAGAATAATGGGTTGTGGAAATATGAAATGGTCATGGACATTCATTATTTCATAACACTCCCCCTGAATGTCTATCGTACAAGGAACACGTCTCGTTAAAACCTTACTAGGAAAAAATCCAATGAGAAAAAATCATAGTGAAGGAAAAAAGAGCACAATATTCCTTATACACATTAATCTTAGTGTTGGCCTTTGGCCTCTCCCTATTGAAAACATCATTTGAGATCTTTAAAATGATGTATTTCAATCTTTGAATCATCTTCTCAAAATTTATGGTAGGTAATGTCTTAGTGAACAAATCTGCTTGATTGTCACTTTGATATATTCTTCCTTCAATGGAGTTATGCAAGCGACATTATCCTCATATGATATTGTTAGAACTTTTTTGTTGATAGATACACCGCATGTCTCTCGAATATGATGGATCGTTGATCTTAGTCAAACATATTCTCGATTTGCCTCGTGAATTGATATGATTTGAAGATGTGGCAGCTATAGTTTGCTTCATAAAACGTCAAAATATAGTTGTATCTTCATATGTAAATATATAACCAGTTGTGATTGAGCTTTGCGTTGATTAGATAAATAACTCGCATCCGCATAATCAATTAATCTTGTCTTTGATTTATTTGAGTAATATAAGTCTATATCAATTATTCCTCGAAGATAACGTAGTATATGTTAACTTTATTTCAATGTCTCCGTATTGAAGTAAAACTATGACTTGCTAATAAATTTATAGAAAAGACCATATCAAATTGAGTATTATTAGTAAGATATATCAATGCACCGGTGACACTAAGATATGGTACTTCGGGATCAAGTAATTCTTCGTTATCTTCTCGAGGTTGAAAATGATCTTTTTGGATATCAAGTGAATGAACTACCATTGAGTTAGTCAATGAATGATCTTTATATAGAATTATTGTAGAACTTTTTTCTATACAAATTGATCGATAAATAAAAGTCTCATTCTCCGAGTGCTCGAACTGCATGATTGAGATAACATTTTTTTCCTTGAGGTATTCATATCAAATTCTCTTTTTAGATAACTTATGACACTTGAAATCTCTTCGGGAGTTCCATTAATATTTAAGTTATCAACATATACAACAAATCCCTTTTCAAATAAAAACATATGAACAAATAAGGTTATTTTTTATAACTTTCTTTCAATAAATAATCATTGAAGTGATTATATCACATGCACACGGGTTAGTAATAAACATTAGATATAAAAATAAAATAAAATATAAAAATTATAAATTAAATTTCTAAAAACTAAAATAATAAAAAATACCAATAATCCTAATATATATCTCTATAATTTAATTGAATTCTTTTCTCGAGAATATGTATTACATGCTTCGGCATGTTAAGTCCTTCTAAAACTTTCATACCGATATCATTTCAAATGAGCAAAAAACTATGATCACATTCATTAAATGCATGCATATGAATGTTTTTCATATATTTTTTCGGACTAATGAGATAACAAAATATAATTACATCCATTATAGGAGAATATGTCTCCTCATAGTCAATGTCAATTCTTTACAAAAACTTTTATGTTATAAGTCTTGCTTTGTATCTCATAATCTCATCTTTCTTATTTTGTTTTCATAAAAATACTCATTTATATCTTACTAACTTAACATCTTCATGTGTTTTAGCTATAGGTTCAAAAAACTACTTTTTTGTAAGAGAATATAATTCTGCTTGGATTGCTCTTTTCATTTAGACCAATCATCTTTATGTCGATATTCTTCAATAAATTTTGGCTCGAATCTTATTTTCATTCAAAATATCAATTGCAACATTATATGCAAAAATCTTATCAATAGATGTTTCTTTTTGGTCCTATTTTCTCCCTGTATTGACATAATTTATCAAAATTTCTTAATTTTTCTCAAGCATTTAAACTTCTTCCGGAAGTATATTATCGAAATATCTTGGACCTTTTTGTAAATATTTTCATCTTGCCCTTTTCTTTTGGATATTTTTTCTTTAGAACCAATCGATCTTCTATGCTTCGGGCGTGCTTTAGATTCATTTGCTATAACATTAATAGATGGTCCTTCTAGGACATCAATTCTAATAGGAGCATTCTCGGTGGGGACATGCATTATAGTTACTCATTTAGAATCCGAGAATGCATTTAGCGATTGGTTTGTAATACCTTGTAAATGAATTATCTTTTGAACTTCTAGTTCACATTGTTTTATGCAAGATTCAATATGATATAAAGATAGAGTATTCCAAATAATTTTTTTTCAACATTTTTAATTGCTTATTTTGCTTATTCTCTTTCCCTAATGTTGAAAAAATCGTTTCATCAAAATGACGATCAATAAATTGAGTTGTAAAAATACCTCTTGTTCATGAATTAAGAGATCGAAGATGATTCAAATCTAACATATATTCTCAATCTCCTTTAAGTGTCCATTTTATTTCGTTATAGGGAGCATTACGAATATATACTCGTAATGCTAAAAATTCTTGTATAAGAAATATTTTACTCATGACCATAAATCAATTGAAGATAAGAGAATTTCGATAACTTATGGGTCCGATAAGAATAAGTGTTACTGCATGTAAGATTGCATATCCCCCAACATAAACATGGAGTTTTATTTTTAAATGATGGTTTAGCTATCAATTGGACTTTTTTGATAAATAATTTTACTAAACCTTTCGAGTATGAACACGAGCAATGAGATGTTCAACCTTTATTCTAATAGCCAATCAATAATAATTTAATTCTTGAGAAATAAATTCATCATCATTATCAAGGTGACTTCTTTTAATGGCATAATTTAAAAATTATGCTCGAAATCAAATTATTTGCTAGCAATCTCAAAAAACGTCGGGTTTCGAGTAGATAATAAGCATACATATGATCATCTTGTGGATGCATTTATCAAAATTATAAAATATTTAAATGGTCCACGAGGTGGATGAATTGATCCACATATATCACCTTGAATACATTCTAAAATACTAAAGATTCAATCTCAATTTTTCTTGATGATGGTTTAATCATCAATTTGCCTTGGCAACATGCGAGAACATGAAAATTCATTAAATTGAAGAATCTTCTGGCTCTTTAATAGATAGTCATATAAATTTTTTAATAATTTTTCGCATCATGAAAGACCCAAGATAACATAACTCGGTCATGTCACATAGTAAAAGTATTTGAATTAGTAAACTTCGGTTTACTACAATATTTGTTTCAATCATTTCAATGTTTGTAATAAATACTAAAAGAGAAAGCGAGCAAATTTTTCAATACATATTTTCTACCTGGTATAATGATTATAATATACAAGTATTCACATTTGCTATTTTGATATGATATCAATTTAGATGAATATCTTTGAAACTCAATAAATGTCTATGAGTCTTTGAAGAGAATAGTACATTCTTTATAATAAATTTATCCTTTCAGATGATAATATATTTGCTCTTATGGGGTCTTTAAATTAGTCACTTTAAGTAATAATATATCGGCTCTTCTAGAGCCTTTAAATATTTTCTCTTCAAGTAATAATTTATTCACTCTTCTAGAGCTTTAAAAATTTATATCTTCAAGTTATGATATAATCGCTCTTCTAGAGCCTTCAAAATCTATCTCTTTAGATAATAATATAGTTGCTTTTCTAGAGCTTTCTATTAGATTGATATTATCATATATAATATTAACATAAAACAAATAATCAAATAAATCAATACAAAATAAATAAATCAATATATTCCTCATAAACACAAACAAATAAATAACTAGTAAAATAAATTTGTAACCATCAATATACGGCATAATTTATAAGAAATATAAAATATTTTATTTATAAATAGAAAAACTAACAAGTAATTAATTTCAATTACTATTACGTTGATATATAAAAGTAGCCTTCATATTTTACTCTTTATTTTTCAATAAGACTTGACAAGCCTCAATGAGGTACTTTGGTATACGATCAATATTCATTCATTCCACATCCGTAATATTTATTTTTCAGAATACCGACTTTATCTATTTTTATTTTTTATTTTTTTCATAGTTATCCACTTCTAGTTGTGAGATGTAATATTATGGTCATTACGATTATAATGATAATTATTTCGACCATATCCATGGCTATGATCACATCTTCATCCATATCTAAAATTATTATAAATTGTTACATTCACTTTAGGGAATGGAGTAGATTCAATTGGATGAGATTTGTTCTTGTTCATTTTATTTAGCCACCAACAAGTATAAAACCGATCCAAAATATTTTTTAAACTCTTTTTCTTGATATGCTACTACAAGAGCATATCCAAGACATAAAAAGTAGAGAATATTTTTTCAAAATCAAGCACTCATAATCAATAATTCTTATTCAAAATATCAAGAGTTGCCAAATCAAGTTTATAAGGTTTGATATGATAAAAATGATATAATACAATATATAATAATAATATTAAAAAATAAGAACAAATATAATAATAAAATAAAAGCTTTTCAAACAACATATATTAGATCATTAATAGATCATTTAAGTTTTTCAAATATATATTTTATGTATCAATATATTTAAAGTACATGAATAAATTAGATACATACTTCTTAATGATCTAAATAATTTAAATCTTTTGGTAAAGCACTTGTGTAGAAGAAATCCAATTGTTGAAACAATTGATTAAATCTTTTAGTAGATACATACCTCACGGTCTATTGTCTCGATTGGTTAGAGCTTTCATGCCGATAACGTGTTATAAAAGAAATAGAAATAATAAGAGAATTGAAGGAAAGGATAACAAAAAAATAAAATCACTATAATGTGAATACAAGTGTTAAGAACTTCAAAGTTTCTCTTATTCTCTATATAAAACTTGTACATCAATTAATGAACAATCAAGCATATTTATAGGCTTCAAGATTAAGGAGAGAATTGGAAGAGACTATAGGTTATTAAAAGATGCATGAATTGCATCACTCTTTCAATTTCTCAAATTGAATGATGAATTGTATCCCATTAAGAATAATAGGTAATGAAAATATGAAATGGTCATGGACATTCATTATTTCATAACACTAATATGTTTTTATATAATATTTGAAAATTTTTATTTGTTCATAGATTGTCAATTACATCCCATATGTTTCGAAAATTTTTTAAAGATTGAATTTATCCTTTCAATCAAATTTTTTTACTATAATTTTTTTTTAACTCGAAATACCTTTTACTAAAAAAAAAAAAAAACACTAAAAGCCACTTACATGTTTCATTTTCATTTTGACGTATTTAGAATTTTATTTATTTATTATTTTTTGCATTTCAATCGGAGACATTTCATTCAACAAAATTACTTTGTCGGACAAATTAAATATTTTTAAAAAATAAACAAATGAGATACCATTATAAGCTTAGAGACATATGAAAGATTTTGAATATTATGAATGGATAAATTTGTATATTTACATAACTAACTAATAAGATAAGAACGACAATGTATTAATTAATTAACTACAAGTACATTTTAGCAAAAAATCGTAACCCGAGTGGTGATAATCTCTTACAAAAGATTATATGTTAAAATCTTAATAGAATAATTCTACTAAGAGCTTTGCGCCTGTGAGCTATTAAAAAATATGACTTAAAAAAAATTATGGAGTGAATAGTTTTTCCATAGATAATAACAAATAAAGTTCCGAGATGATAAATGGGCCTTGATAAGTAACGGTCCATAACTTGAAGGCACTAATTTATAATGCCTTTTATTGTGCTGGGCTGGACAGTTTTTTTTTTTTTTTTTTTTGGGCTTTCTATTAGTGCAATGCAAGGAAATTATGTGGAGAGTTCCTCCCAAAGAAGCTGTTGAGGAAGATTAACATGTTAGGCAATTATTTACTAGGCTATAACTCCTTTCTCTAATAATATTAATTGTTAAAATTAAAATTAATCTCATTTAGAGTATCCTATACCATTAACCTCCACTAAAAGGAACCTCCTTTTTACTCTTTACCATTCTAAACAATTACAAGAATTAATTATATATATATATATATATATATATATATATATAGTAGGGTAGTTTCAGATCAGTTTTTACATCATCTGATATTAAGTTCATTATTTTTTAAATTAAATCAGTACTAAAATATACCTAGGATAAGGGCTCAATTATCTTTGTACAGCCCCCTGCCGTATAAACACATGGGTGGGTGTGTGGTCCAAATCTTAGTACATCACGTGAATGACTTAGTACATCAACTTTATTGGCCTCTTACAGGAAAAGAGAGCACGTCTCATTGGAGACCATGCCAGACTGCTATATATTGCTAGTGCTCTCATAGATAGAAATGCATAGATAGAGATGCAATTCAATGTTGTTTGTGATCAAAGAAACATGATCAGTTCAGTAAAAGAAAAAAAACATAGATAGTAACCTAAATATTCAGAAGGCACAAGCACCAACAGCAGCAAGTGTTAGTGGAGTTTGGTTCATATATAATCCAGGGTAAGCCAAATCTGTAACATGTAGATGATTAATTTTGTATGTTTTGCAGGGGTTTTGGTTTTCAGATCTCTATTTTGTGCTTACTGCTGTCACTTCCTCTTCTTCTACATTACTCCATGTTTTAGAGGGCTTTCGAGGTTGCTGCACTGATCAAAATATAGAGTTATATATGATTCGTGATCAAAATCTGGAAATTGCCAGAACTTGATTAAGCTTATACGTTAACAAATTAAAACATTCTCTGCCTCTCAATTTCAGGCTGAGTTTCGCTTTATAATGCTTAAATAGTTAGATTCTCTCAACTGTGTGTTGATGCCTTGGAAGTTGAGTGCAACACATGCACACAAGACCACACTCACATTCATTTTCCTATTTTTGCAAAAAAGTCATGCAATAGAAAATCATTACCTGTGTGTGTCAAGAGTACAGCTAAAACTAGCATGTGAGATGAGCTTCTACTCTTAGTTTAAACTAAACCAATGTTTAACATCGTGTTCAGGTTCGTGATGAGAAGGAAAATGAAGAAAAAAGAAAGATTCAATACTCATGATTTTTTTGTTCATTTGGCATGGGATGCGTTGGAAAGATGTCTAATTGGAGAGGTTTCTTGTGAGGTAACTTATAAACTCTTTTTTTTTTTTTCTGTATTTACTTGAAAGGAAAATGAAAATCAAATTTTTTTTTTAATTGAAAGTAAAGGATGTGTAAATAATTATAAACTGAATATTCATAAGAACAAAAAACATTAGCAAAACCACTGGCCAGTTCTATGCCAGTAAGATCAACATTTTATTATCGACTATGGACACTGACGAGGCCAGCTAATGTTCAGCTGACCCTCCTGAACTCAAAAGTTCTATGAAGTTTTCCAGGATCTATGCTAGGAAAAAAAAAAAAATTCTTGGTCCATGTTACTAAAATTACTTTCCTAAAAATATTATGGAAAAAAATAATATAGGCACATTTTAGCAAGGGGAATTAATTAGTTGAAAGAAAGGACAATAATTACCGTGCCTCAAATCACGTATAAGGATAAACGATTACGACAATTATTTAGCGGAAGTTTCTTTTTTATCTCAAAAACGGATATTTTTTTTGATAAATAGATGTGGTATATTATGGAACAAAACTACATCCAAAGAAAAACAAAACCAAAGCATGAAATGCATGTGCATGTCAGTATGTGAATGAGAAGAAGCTTAAAAATAAAGTCTTGGAACCAGAACAGAGGCCGAAGAATGCGGTTGATGTTGTATATAGATGACGAAATCAGCTGCTCCAGCCTTGCAAACGGGAGCATTCAACCCAGTAACATCATGCTTGACGCAAATCTCAATGCTAAGTTAATGGATTTCGATCCCAAATGGTTTACTTCTGATGATGATCCATTTATGATGCTGAAGAGTTTGTCAGTGTAAGTAATTAAATGCATTCCTGCAACTACCAATTTCCAATCTGCTTGAAAAAATTCTTAAGCCTAAGATTTTCTTAAAACTTTTAGAAGAAGAATTTGTTTTTGATCCTACTTAGTTGTAACATTAATTATCCATTTGTTACTCTTTTACAGCATGTATATGGCACCTGAGTATCGTTTAAAGGGGGCCAAAACCAAAAAAGCTGTCGTTTATAGTTATGGAATTGTCTTATTTGAAATAATTAGTGGGAGGAGATTTGCAGAAATTAGAGAGAACACAATCCTAAATGAGATAAGAGAAATTGGTTGGCCATTGCTATCAAGATTAGGAGGGATGAATGGGGTAGTGTTGATGGAGGGGCTGCTGGAGCAAGGGCTGCAGCGGACGGAGTAGGAGCAGTGTCTGATTGTGCAGTGGACATGGTGAAGTAGGGCAGTGGATGTTTTGGTAGTAGGGGGCTGAAGGAGTATTAGGGATGGAAAAAAGAAGAAGATATATTTGGCAGTAGCGGGCTGAAGAAATATTGGACAAAAAAAAAAAAAAAAAAGGGGATGTTTTGGCAGTAGCAGTTAGAGTATTTGGGCGTCCTGGTAGCCAACTGATTTGGGAGGCATATTTGGGTAGTAGCTGACATGTTTTGGTGAGGGAAACAAAAAGAAAAAAGAAATCATTATCTTTCTATTTATTGTGTTTCTGCCGTTATCGCGAAGACTTTGAGATACAATTCAATTAATTAATATTGATAAAATTAGACTTTTGTTATCATTTTGTATTTTAATATTCCAAGTAGTATCACACAAATAAGAAAATAAAAAATATATATGATTAAGAACATTAGTGATCTTCTAAATCATAATATATTGATAGAAAAAAAAACCATAATTAGTACTAGATTTTAATTAATCTAAATTTAACATTTTTTATCAACCAATTAATTAAATTACATAATGACTATATAACATATCTTGGTGCATTAATTAAAGAACATGAAAATTCACAATATAAAAACATACATATCTTGAAAGATAATAATTTTATTTTAAATTAAAAATAATTACCACAAAACCCAAATAAAAAAAAAAACTTCTATCTAAAAAACCCATCAATTATTTTTAAATCTCTTAAACAAAAAATAATATTTTTCTTATTTAACTTTTTCAAAATTCATTTATTTAACTTTAGCGTATTAAAAAAAAAAAAAAGACAAGATTATGATAGAAAAATAGAATAAAGAGAGAAGATTAGGACGTGGAAAAAAAGAAAGAAAGTTAACATTCTTAGTTTAAAAGTTAACAAAATAAAAATGATATTAAAACATAAACCAAAAATAAAAAAATAAATTCAAGACAAAAAAAATATATGTAGAGAGAGAGACACTATTAAAAACAAAAGGAAGAGTAAAAAAAACCTTTACAATTATTAGTCCATTATTTTTCTCATAATTAGTTTCGAAAATAGATATCTATGTTCATTCGAATTAATGATTTAGACCATTGGCATTCGTTAGAGAATCATGAGTAAAGGTAGCCCAACGAAAGATCACGATGAACTAGATGAACTTCCCACGAAAGATCGCCTGCCACTCTACCATAATCAAGATGAGAAACCCTATGCTACAGTGATGCGATGTCCACTTCAACAACGTTAATAATTTCTTCTTCATTGCCACATCAATGAGCTTCGTACTCTCTGGCGTATTATCTGTCGGAAGGTACGTGCGCAGAAAGACTTGGCAAGGAAGAGAGCGTTATCCAAACGTGAAAAATGCACAAATCTATTTTCTCCCTTGATTGATCGTTCAAGCAGTCGTGTTTGATGGCTTTGGTGTTTGTACTTTTCAAACGAAGAAACAAGTAAAAAGCACTGTTGATGCAACAAAAGGTTTCTAAGTTCAGAATCTCTTCTTTCAAGTTGATGCCTGATATGATTTTAACTTGCGACAATAATTACAATCCAATCAAACTTTAGCCTCATAAAAAAAATAAAAAATAAAAATAGCTCAAATTTATATTGTTAATTTATGATTAGGGTTTTTTTTTTTTTTTTTTAACTGATACAATTATCTCGAAATTTCGATTTTTTAAGAATAAGATTTGATTTTTTTTTTTGGTCCGAAAATTGATTAAATTGTGGCATCTATGATTCAATAACCTTAACCCTTCTCAAGGTTAAAACAAAAAAATCAAATTACTGGGAAGGAGCAAATGATTTAGGTCAATTTGTTCATTTTAGTTCGATTAATGACTTTTTTTAAAACTTTATACTCCAAAAACTGACTAGCTTCAATAGGCCCACAGGATATTGGTCTTCGATGGGAACATTATCTTTCGCCCTTCTATGACTTTTAACTTGAAACTTAAAGAAGCCCATACGATCTTAGGGCTCAATGGCACATGATTTGTTTTTCTCTATTGGTTGGTAGGTTGGTGCATGAGCGACGAGAACACAGAAACCACACGGGTCTGATTTGCAAACAGAGCTATGTAGATGCATAACTCATTCAACAAACCCATTGGAAGATTGGACTTGAACAGAAGATTTTGGTAAAAACAATATTATTTTGGGTTTATGAGATATGAAAATAAATTGTTGGGATTTCTAAACAGAAGATTTTTTTTCAGCATTTTTCTTTCTTGAAACTAGTAGAGCTGACTGTTGACTGTTTTGATAAAAACAATATTGTTTTGGGTTTAAGAGATTTGAAAATAAATTGTTAGGACAGAAGATTTTTTTAAGCATTTTGTCTATATTGAAACTAGTAGAGCTGTTGCAAAAGTGGTCATTTATCTGTTCGCTTCTGAGTTTCGATGTGGCCATATATTTGTTGGGATGCAAATGGAATTTTGGCTCACTATGGTTGGGACTGTATGTGGAATGATTGAAACATATAGCAATTGCAAGCCCTGAAGAATCCGCCAACACCACGTATAACCCTGTCAGGAATGCGGCCACAATTGCCCAACATTGTAAATGTTGTGGCTGAATCAAGAAAATCTTGGATCTCTTCTTCATTATGCATATATAGCTGAATCAAGAAAATCTTTGTCATCATTGTCGCTACTATAGCCACCAGTTAAGCTAAAACTATTAGGAAACGAATCAAATAAAAGATAAATAATAAAAAGATAAAAACAATCACATAATATAAAGATTTTACGTGATTCGACAATAAAAAAAGCAAAGTTTTACCAATAAATTTAAAATGACCGCTACATAATAAAACAGCTATTATATAACGGTTTTAGGATATTTCATTATCGTTATTTAACATTATATAACCACCACAACATTGTTTTAAATTGTGATAAGTTGCTACTTGCGATCATGATCATGATCGTTTTTTTAACCGCATCTATGACTTAAACTACAGTGAATTAGGCAGTTTTGCAGCTTTGTTTCAAGATCTTCATCTTCTGCCTAACAGCCTACCAAGTGGTGGAAACACGCATTAATAAGTATTGCATCAAATTCCATAGCTTTATTCAAACAGCTCAAAACCAATATTCTAGAAAGGTCAATGACATTTTAAAAAACGTAGTCCGGAGACCACAGCTTTCTGTGAACTTTAACACAAGTTTGTAGGCACCGAGAAACCATGTCATATTCTTGTCGTATGCTCTCTCCATGCTAAAGCGTACCTATTTCATATTCTTGTTGTCCACGATAATACCCCCTTGCACGCCACAGCCAATTTTGGCTCATAAAGAAAAGGCATTTGCTAAAGTGAATAGCTCCACAAAGAAAAGGCACCAATCTTGTTGAAAGTTTGCGAAAGCAAATAAATAATGAACGACAGAGGCATATGGGGTTTCCCTTTTAGACCAACGTGACTGAATGATAAATCATAAAATCTCTTTTTACTTAAATCATCACTCTCACAGACTCACTCTCTGCCAGAACTCAAAACAAGCATCGGCCACCATCCAAGCCACCAGCCACTTCTTTACTGAAAAAAGCTCAAAATGATTTTTTACCTTTCATAAATATAAATACCCACCTACTTTACATAAATGATTTTTTATTCAAAAAATAATAATTTTCATCAGTTTCACTGTTCTGAAGTTGCAACGAATTAAAAGATTTATTTTTCTCATTTATCAAAATTTAAATACGCAGGAAGATTGTCTAATCAACATTGCTATTAATATAACATTGTCACAGGCAGTATAGATGGGCCTTGATTGGTAAGAGATTATTTGCCATTCTAACTAGTGCCTGAAAAATAACAAGCTCGTACAAAGTTTCTCTACACTGTTCTAGCTATGAGGGGAGACGCTCCTTTTGTTACATGCATGCAATTTTCACTCTTCAATCATAATGATTCTTATGTTCAAAATAGTAGTAAGATCAATTACACACCCTTGCAGAAGAAAAGCAAAGTTCTACTGCAGTGAATTAGATGCTTCTTTCAACCTCCCAAAAGACTTCCTAGCTTAATCCGCTCAACATGAATCAGTGAATTAGGCGGTTTTGCAGCTTCGTATCAAGATCATGGAACAATTCATCTTCTGTCTCAATAACCTACCAAGTCTTGGAAAACACATCAGCACGGATTGCATCAGATTCTATAGCTTTATTAAAACAGTTCAAAACCAATCTATAAAGCTCAACAACACTTTAAAAAAAGGTAGTATGGAGACCAAAGCTTTATGTCACCATGAAATTAACTTTAACAAAAGCCTATAGGCACTGAGAAACAGTTAGAACAGACAACTCCAAAGCATAACAGAAGCATTCCAAGCCTAACCTGAAAAACCTAAAACTAGAGAATCAAAAGCCAGAAACCTGTGAGGGCAAGATCATCACTAATAGCTTAAAACATAATCACCATAACCAAGGATACATCGGTTAGTAGCAAAACAGAATCCAAATTTGGTAACCCTATGGTGGGACTTTTGGCATCCAATAAAAACAAAACTTTAGTTCTTCTTCAACCTCCAACCCAAGGTCTCTACCATAACAGATGGGAAAAATTGGAGCTTGCCTTCTGTTAGGTCATAGGATTTAGTGCAGATTCAAGTATAGGATCTATCCTAATCCTTCTTCCACAACATACATTATGTTTCCAATAACCCTTTCCATCTTTGATTTCTCAACCAACATAATCCATATTTTTATTAAAAATAGGATTTCTAAAGTTGATTTTGGTTCAATGTAGTATGTGAGTCTAGATTTATACCTAAAATAAGCTAATCTATTCAACTTAAAAAAAAAAAAAAAAAGTACAATCTCTCTTTTCATGTTGAGCTACTATAATCCTAGTTATCGACCAACCAACTAAAATTCTTGAGAAACAAATAAAATTAGCATTGAAAAATGAAAAAAAGGAAAAATGAAAGAGAGCTAATTCCATAAAGAAATAAAACAAAGCAGAATAAACTCTAATTAGTCAAACAACAAGACCTGATTCTTCAAATTCAGAACCTTGCTACAGATCTAATCAGCCATTAAAATTGATAATGGTAAAATCCATTTACTACCCTTTGGGAAAACTCATGGCATTAATATATTTCCAAAACCTTCTACATCCAGCAGTAACAACCCTAAAATTTATTTGGTTCTTTATGCTTGTTTCATGGCCACCCTTTATTCCCAAAAAACAAAGCTTTTTATGCATTACTTGCTATCTTCAATCAATCATATACTTAACAAAAGAGACAGGCTCACTTATCCCCATCAATTACAAAATTACAGTACCTAATTTTGAGCTCACCAGCAACCACGCAAGAGGATTTAGTGCAGTAGCCTTACACAATAAGATGCATCCTACCCTGAGCCTTCTTCGAAATACTCTACAGTACAAGAGCATCCGCCATTCATAGAAATTACCAATCAAAATATCACTAATAATTATATTTCCACCAAAAACCCTAAAGTTGATTACTTCAAACAAGTCTCAAAACCTAGCTATATTCCTAGACAAACCCTAATGATGCCGCTACCTGTCATTAACAGCTTATTCCTCCATTAAGAACAACTAATCTCTTCATTCTTAACCTAAAAACACAATAATTTTACCATAAAAATCACATTAAGCTTAAAAAAACTGAAATTAATTAAAAATACCTCATTTGCAGTAACGATCAGCTTTCTTCTTAACCCGATCATCAAGAGCATCTTCAACGGATTTAAAATCTTTCTTCTCGCTATACCCAAACTTCTTCGTCTCCACAGGAAATAACTCCTCGTACTTCATTTTCTTCGCCGCGTCAATCGTATAAATCTCACCAGCACCACCAGATTCCGAATTCTCCACCGCCTCCGCCTCGAGTGCCGCGTCCTCCACCGTTTCAGCCACCGGCTTCTTCTTTTTCTTCCTTTTCTTTTCGATTCCTATGCTTCGTTTTGCTAAGCTTCCTCCCTTGAAGGTTAGTCTCCCTCCTTTCACTTTCTCGTATGGATCCGACATCGTTTTTGCTCTTCCTTTCCTCTCTCTCTCTCTCTCTCTCTCTCTCTCTGGTTTCTGTTTCGCGAAGAGACGATAGAGCTGAGACAGAGTTGCGATTTTTATTTGCTCGAAAACTTTGATTTATTTACTTGTTTGCCCCTGTAAAATATGATGATTTTATCTGACATACGACATCGTTTCCTTTTTCTGCAACCATGATTAAGGAGTAAATTATAAATTAATCGCTATAGTTTTTTAAAAAGAATTAAATAGTCTCTCTAATTTAAATAACTAATTAATTAGTTTTTTAATTTTAAATCTATTCATAACTTAATCCTTTTCTTTTGATAATTTATTTTTTATTTTAAAAAATAGATAAATAAATAAAATTTATAAAAAATATATTTTTTTTGAAACAAAATATTATTAACCATCACTAATATTAGCTATTTAATACTTTCATTGAAATACTATCTTGAATTTGAGTGCAAAAAAAAAAAAAAAAAAATTCACAAACTAACAAATTTTTTATTTTACTTTCTAAATGAGTTTTACGTATTTCGAGATATAATACAATTCAGATTTTGTTTATTGAGATTCTAATTTTTTTTGTCCAACGTAAAAGTTTTACTCTTATCTTATTTATGTTTCAACTATTAATTTGTTACCTAAGCACACATGACAAGTTCTAGCCAACAACAATTTGCCAGGTAAGATTTTTATTTTTATTTTTTATTTTTTTATTTTTTTTAAGGGTAGAATTTTTAAATTGAATAAAAAAAAATTCAGGATCTCAATAAAAAAAATCTGAATTGTATGAGATCTCAATATAAGCAAAAAAATCCCTTTCTAAATATTGGGATTTTTTTTTAAAAAAAATGCGTTCCTTCTTTTAACATTTTATTGAGAAATTGACGTAGAATCTCCACTCAAGTCCTTTTATTTTCTCTATTAATAAAACATATATATTTTTTCCTAAGTTGGTTGGGAAAACGACAAGAATTGGAAAGATTTTTACGAATTTAGCAGGGAAAATTAGAGAAGCTAAAGAAGAAGAAGAGAAAGAACAACTTATTTACAAGGCGTTCCTCAACATCTTATGAGTTCTCATCATCCAAATCTCTACTGCTGCTGACATAACATTTGCAGAAAATGACATAAAACACAAAGCTAAGTGTACTTAACAAGGCTAGAAGCCAATAGTATTTGTCTAGACGGGCTTCTCTCATGTCATCAGAGAACCAGCTTTGTCCCTTTCCTCTTGAGCTTGTGAAATATTCAACCATGGAGATCAACAGAGCACTCAAGAAGCTTCCGACCCCAAAAACACTGGTATACAGAGCAATTCCCATTGTTCTCATTCTTACAGGAACTTCACTGTAGAAAAACTCCTGCATCCCAACAACAGTGAAAATATCTGAAATGCCAAGCAGAATGTACTGAGGCAGCAACCAGAATATGCTTAATGGAACTTCTGTTTCCAGTTTCGGATCGACAACTCCCATTTTTCGGCCGATTTCGAGTCTCTTCGTTTCGACAAGAGCAGCAATGGCCATGGCTATTATAGATAGCAACATCCCAATTCCCATTCTTTTGGTCACACTGATGCCTTTGTCGTCGCGAGTGATCGATTGTGCAAGTGGGATCAGCAACGCATCATAAAATGGCATCAGGAGGATGATAGACACTGTGATAGAGCTTTGCAGTGTAGCAGGTGGGATCTTGAAGCTGCTGCCTACATTCCTCTTCATTGTCATTCCTTGCTTGGTAAAGAATGTGGCAGGCAGTTGAAAGATGACCGCGAACATCAAAAGCATCGTCCATATCGGCAGAAGCCTCAATACTACCTTTCCATTTTCTACCAGGTGATTAATACCAGTGCTGGTCTTCTCCTTCAATCCCTTTGCATTGGGTGAATTCTGACAAAGAGGTTTTTCCTGAAGCCTGTAAACAAGTTAAAAGAGTAGCACTGTTAAAAACACTCATGGAGGTTTCGAACAAGGCTGCGTTGATCGACGATACGAAAACTTACTCTAACTCAATAATTTCTGGCTTGTCTCTTGATGAGGTGATTCTGCTGCTCATAAATCTGGACGCAGCTTCCTTGATGGCTCGAACTATGTCCCGCGAAGGCCTTTCAGAGATAGTGTCATCCTGTCTATATGTGTAAATTCTGCTTCCGCACCAGAACAGTAAAATCGATGTTACCATTGCGATTGTAGGAATTGCAAATCCAAGAACCCAGCCAAATGTGTCTTGGATATAGGACATGACTGTGACACCTGCAAGACTGCCACCACAGATCCCAAAATACCACCATTGAAAGAACAAGCCCTTCTGGTTCGATTTCTTCTCATCTTTTGTGCTCGGCAGCTCATCATCGTTCGCAATTTGATCCGCTCCGAAGGCTTGTAAAGATGGGTTATATCCACCTTGGCCTAGCGAAATCAAACAGAGTGACCAAAACAGGTATGAAGAGCTTACATTGCTGGTGGAATGCTGTGCCCAAGCCAATGCTGTTGATGTCAACGCCACAAGTCCCTTATAAGAAAGAAAATTAAGAAGATAGAATCAGATTTAGCATAGAAATCATAAGCCCAACACTATGTTTCTCCAGTTAAAGACACAAATTTGTTCAAATTAATCAAATTCTTGCTCCCAAGTTCATCAAACGGTGGCACTAATATTACAAAAAAGAACATAATCAAGAATTTCTAACATGATTACCAAAACTTTCCAATAGTTGTAAGCTTAATAGCAACTTATCAGAATTTCAAAAGCAGATAGAAGATAAGAAAACAAAAAATACTAACCACAACGTAAAGAAAGGAAGAGGTTAGAATGGTGGAATACCGATCCCAAGAATCAGCAAGGGATGCTACAAGAAGTGGCAACATGGATGTGAACCCACACCAATTATTAACTGTTTTGGCTGCAGCTGAGTTGCTCATCTTCACAACATCTGTAAGATAAGTCACCAAATTTGATGCCACCCCTTTGAACGCAAACCTCTCCATTCCAGCAATCACTGCCAAAAAGCAGAAACCATATGAGCTCAAATCGAACAATATCCCTTCAAAAATGATCCTATAGCAGAATTAATGTTCATGTTCTGGCAAATTAAAATAATCTGTCATTCATCATCGGGAAATTAAAGAGCTAAGAGATGATCAAGAAGCTAGAGGAAAGTAGAACTACCTATGAGGAGAAAACATGGCCTGTTGAGGTCATTTGCTTTCTGCCCACTGGCCATGGCGAGAAAGATAGATAAGAAACTGTACGATTGGTAGGCTTAATACGTTCATGCAATCTGATTAAAAGTAAGATCATGCAATCCTATTAGGATTCGATCAACCTGTTACGTACCATCCCACTAAGATCCCATAACATTTTGATCCTGTACAGAATAGGATTAATGCAGGTCCCAAAAAACACAAACTTTGAGGCTTTTACGACACCATGACATTATTGCAACATTTTTTCTTTTCTTGTACAACATAAAGAAAGTCAGTTGGGCTTCGGTTTCTGACACGACAAACACTACGGAAAATGCCAATGTCTCTTTGCTTATAAGGATATCACTTTGAAGAAGGAAAAAAAAGTTCGAACTCCACTTTCAGTTTGTGAAGGCTGACATGGCAGCAATACCGAGGTATTGGAAATGTCGACATCCTTGGATACTGACGTCTGTTTTTATTGTCAGATGGATACTCCTGTTCGGCCACGTTTGCAATAAATGGCAGTTTCGACACATGGCGCCAGCAGGTGTTGCCACGTAGTATTTCGATTGTATATTTGAAAAATGTTTTTGAGATTCAAACTCATGATTTTGTCATGACGATCGTGAAGATTCTAATATCATGTTATTTTAATTGAAAAAGGTTTAACGATGGTGATAATAATTGATGGTAGTGGGAAATTTGTGCCGGGGAACAAGAGAATCATGGTGGAGTTCCTGGACTCAACAGTACTTGCCACTTCCTTGAGAATAAAAGATCTTAACTGAACAGAACAAAACATGATAGGAAAGGAAAAGGAGTTGCTTTGGGGATGTTGTTTTCTCCAACAATGAAATCTCAAAGTGGTGATACGTAGACATGCAAAGAGATTTAGGATGGGATTGGACTGCATGCTAGCATACAGTATAGCTCAGTTTTTATTGGAAGTTCCATTACGAAAATGTGGAACGTTTTTCAACAAATTGTTTTTTTTTTTTCATTTAATGAATGTGATCAAAATATTTGTAAATAAAAGATGAATAGAAGGATGAAAAAACCATGCAACCTAAAGATATTGTAAACTTGTTAAGAAGAATAATTTAAGAAACTAAAAAAGATTGGCTAGTGATCGATTAAAAATTAATCATATTCTGATGTTGTTTTAGGGTAAAAAAGTTTGATTTAATCTCGATCAGTTGATGAAAAAAATTTAAAAAATTAATTAAAATTTTTTTGACTACTTGTAAATATAACAAAAATTGATAAAAAAAAAAATTTAAAGAACATCGGTCCAAATAAAGTAGTGTATTGATCTCATGATACAACGTGTTTAGGGAGAAAAAAAAAAAGAAGGATTTTTTTGTGTTTTTTAAATTTAGCATATGTAATTGATTGACGTTGTATGCATTTTCACTGTTTTTACCTAAAAAGATATGAAAAAAAAGAAATTAAAAAGAGAGAAAAAAGGAGAGAGAAAGTGGCAAAAACTTTCGTTTTCTACAACAATTCTTATTGAATATGGCATATTTTGATTCGTCTTCATTATTTAGAATTTGATCAGTTGTCATACAAGGTCCTTCATTGCTATAAAATAAAGATATGTGACTGGATTTGAAAACGACTTCAGAATTTTGATTTGATTGGAAGAGATTTCAAAGTGCAAAAACCAAGATCTTTCAAAATCATGGGTGTCGCCTGGCATGATGATGTGTCGTCCACTGGAATTTTTTTAAAATTTTTATACAGATAAGTTTGTTAGTTTCCACGTAGATTTTGAGTGCAGTACATATGCTTTCCAAGCCCAACCACGACGATTTTAACGAGTAAATTAGTAACTTTTGTTTTGAAAAATAAATAAATTAATTTTTTTCATATTTTAGACATTAATGACTTAGTTTTTATATTTGAAATTTAATTATAATTTAATTTTTTTGTTTCTTTTTAATTTATTTTAATTTTTATTTTAAGAAACAAAAAAATATATAAAAATTGATGAGAAAATAAGAGATTTTGTAGAATAAAAATAATATCAAAATAAAAATGATCAACACTGATTAAAAATTAAATAATAATTTTTAAAACGAGAAAGACTAATTAATTTATTTCTCAAAACTAAATAGACTAATTTATAATTTACTTAGATTTTAACAGGCTAAACTACTTCATTTTTTTTCCTTTAATTTTTGGTTTATTTAATTTAATTTCATTATTTTTCAAAGGTCAATATTTATTTACTTTTTAGAAACTTATAAAATAATTTACGACTAAATTTCTTTTTCCTTTAAGTGATACACATCATTGAATTATATTGGGTTTTTATACAAACATTTTACTATAATATTGGACATTAAATTATTACGATCTAGCGTGCAAGTATATATACAGAATTTATTATTTTTATATTGCAAGTTAATTTAATCAAATGAAATGTTCAAAATACATATAAAAATAAAATAATTGTATAAAAAAGATTTTTTTTTAAATAAGTATGAATATTCTATAAAAAAAAATTATATACGCATAAATTAATTATATTCTATAAAAATATATAGGGATTTTATATGAAGCCACGTTGTGCAAGTATTCTTCTTTATGCAATTATGCTCTGATTTATCAAAGGAAGTTCATAAATGTTCATGTTAATCAGGGACACCAAGTCTAGAGCTGTATTTTCCAGCTTTCTATATGCATGCTGAAGTACGTAACTGAACCGGCCTCACCACTAGTCTACCACCAATAGAATCCATTTTTAATTTCTCCAAAACCTAATCACGAGGAATACATGCCCTTGCATCATCCCGAGTTATTTTAAACAATTCCATAACGTTACGTATTATTATTTTGATAAACCATTTTATACATGGATTCATCGAAACACAGACACGTTCTAGCTGGCTCTGCTTGGAGAAAGAGACGTTGAAGCCAATGAGAACACAAAAAAGAATGATAAACGCAAGAAAGAAAGATAAAGGCAACAAACAGGACTCGAAACAACAGCAGCTAGCCTAGTCCATCATTATTTAGACCCAATATATATATTTTTAGCAACCACAAGGATGAACCTAAAGAGCTAACCTTCTTAAACAGAACTATGAAAGGTGATAGTTGATCAATAAGAAACAGGATTCTACCTCTATTCTCCTCATAATAAATCCCAATATCCCTGCATATAACTCCGCTGTGACAAATGTCTGAAGGACAGAAAACTAGCTTGTAACCTCTGCCAACGCTCACAACTTAATGTATCAAAACCAGGATTTCATTCAACCCGACCAGTGGTCACAAACCAATGCATCTCTGAGTTGGTAGATTTCTGAATCTTCCACACTGATGCGTGTTCACAGGCTTTCTTAGTAGAAAACTTAATAGATTAGCAGAAACTCGGATGACACCTTCTTCGGAGTTGGCAGGTTTTATTGGTAGCTGTAATATCACCACCTGCAGGCCCCCCAGACAAGTGACAAGATGTTGTATTCCGTGCTTGCTCTAAGTTCTTCGCCATCAGTGTCAAGCACTGGCTCAGTCGCATATGATGCTTTTGTGAAGACAAATGCAAAGAGAAGAAAGGTGAACACTACCAACAATGTAGACTTCATTCTTATTTGATGTTGGATATGAAAAACAATGTGAATAAGCTTGAATTTATAGAGTCAGAATTTAGATGCTCAACAATAAATTATTGAAGGTTAATAGTTTCAAGTGTATTTATATAATGATTCAAGTTTTCAATCTATAGTTAAACACTATTCTTGTAGTCAATTTTTCTATTCAAACTATCAAAAATTGACTGTACATGTGAGTTGTATATAATATATCTTTTGATGAAAATATTCCTTATGTGCAAATTAGATTACTCCAACGATCTACTTTTGAAGGGTATTTTCATCAAAAAAAATCTCATGTGCAAGTCACGTGTTAAATTTTGGATGGTTCAATAGAAAAATTTAACGAAAAATGATATATTAAAAATTGAATAAAATAATAAAGGCACAATAAAATAGTTTTAGAATATAAAAACAAATTGAAACTTGAATTATTATACAAAGACAACTAAGGTTATTAACTTAATTGTCAATTAACAAAATTCTATGTGATTTTTAGACCATAGGTAGCATTGGTAGATGCTTCTAGAAGATTCTCTCTTACAGTGGTTTACGAAGTAGAAGAAACTTTCCCTTCCCCCATTCTGTTTTCCATTTTGTTTTTGGTCCTTTGTACATCTGTAAAATCAGTTAGAGGGTTAATTATTTGTTTGTCTACACTTGTATGTATATACCTTATCTACATTTTAATAAAGTGAGGAAAGATTATTCTTTCCAATTTTTCTTTATTATTTTCTTATGGTATTAGAGCATCCTTTTGCTCTTCTTTTTTGACTCTTTTTCTATCAACATGACGACTATTTTTTGTTTGCTCTTGAATCTCTTCTTCCTTATTTTCTTTGCTCTTACTGGAATCACCATGAGAACTTGACCCACTACTTCAAATCTGCCTTGTCTAGTTGAGGAGCTTCCTTCAAGTCCATACTTCCTTCTTCCAAATGAAAACCTAGCTTCTATTCTTGTCTCCACTCTTCTTGCTGGATCTAACTAACATGGTTGGTCCAGATCAATGCACATGGCTCTTTTATCCAAAAGCAAAATCAAGTTCATTAATGGTTCCATCTCGATGCCTAATCATAATCATGATCTTTATCCATTCTAGGAATAATGCAACACCTTCGTTCTATCATGGTTGGTGCATTCGGTCTCCGAATCAATCAAAAACAGTGTCCTCTAGCTAGACATTGCAAAGGATATTTAGGACGACCTTCAAGAACATTATTCTCAAGGAGATTTTTTCGAATCTTTGATCTTTAAGAGGAACTTTATTCTCTTCATCAAGGTTCGTTATTTGTTTTTGAATACCATACACATTTGAAAATGCTCTAGGATGAGCTTATGAATCTAAGACCCATTCCCACCTGTGCTTGTGAACCCAAATGCTCTTGTACTTGACTCACTATTATTCGAAATTATAAATCTAATTATTACATATGTGATTAGATTCTTGAAAGGGTTGAATGATAGTTTTTACATTGTCAAGTCTCGGATTATGTTGTTGGGTCCCTTACCCTCTATTAGTAAGGTCTTTGATATGACTTCTCAACATGAGAGACAATTTATGTCCGATTTTAGTTCTTCTGCTATCGACATTATTGCCGGTGCCTTCTATAGGAAGACCACTTCGAATTTCAAAGGAGATTTCAAGGTACTTCCCAAGGTCCAAAAAGGTATAATCCACTTGGATCATAGAAACTATATCCAACTAGTTCACCTACTTGCTCTTTTTATGACAAAGAAGGACATATTATGGACATATGCTACAAAAAGTATGGTTTCCCTCCTAGTGTGAAGAATAAGCCTAGATTGATAAAAAGTTCGATCAATCATATTGATAGTTCTTTTCGTGGT